TATAAAGGGTGGTTTTTTAGCTATTATATTTTTGGCAACACTGGTTTGAACAGCTGACGTACGTTTCTTCTTTAGTATCACCATCCTCAGTGTGATCTATAATTTAAACACGAATCGTCTAACAAACGAACAACGCTTGCAAATTATTGAAATTTATTATCGAAATGCGTTTTCTGTTAAGAAAATTCATCGCGCGCTTCCTCAGTTCAGCTACGAAGCTATTTTTTGGCTTAATGGGTGGGCAAATAAGCAGAATTGTCGATTTCTATTCGAGTAAAGAACAGCCAGAAGCATTGCAACAGCTACCTGCGCATCCCGAAAAAGTCATAGTTTGGCGCGGTTTATGGGCTGGTGGCATCATTGGATCGTACTTTTTTAAAAATGATGCGAATTGTGGCGTAACTGTGAGCGCTACCGTGAGATGATATCAGTTTTTTTTTGCCCGAAGAGCAAGATCTTGACTTGCATGACATGTGGTTTCAACAAGACGATGCCACATGCCACACAGCACGCGTAACAATGGACTTATTGAGAGGCGAGTTCGGTGAACATTTTGCTTCACGTTCGGGACCGGTCAATTGGCCGCCTAGATGGTGCGAATTAACGCCCTCAGACTATTATTTGTGGGGCCAATGTCTATACAGACAAGCCCGCTTTAAATGACGCTTTGGAGGATAACATTGAAGCATTTATTACTGGGATACCAGCCGAAATGTTGGAAAGAGTAAGAGAGGATTCCTTTAGTCGCGCTAATATTGAAGTATGGGGCTCTCTAGTTATTATTCCAATCGCACAATAATATTCCTTCCCAGTTGGAAAAGACATTTGGATTGAGTTTCCTAGCTGACTGTGACACCCTCAACTTCCAATTCTTTTAAATAATATTTTTTAAAAATATAAAAACATCAAAAAATCACGTAAATTGTTTAGTTTCCAAGCCCTGATAGTGCACTTCTCCGAGTCCTACCAAAGTTGCTATATCTACGTTTGATTGCAAGCTAGTTGATCCGGAATAGAGATTTTTAAGAAAATTTGTAAGAATTTTACAATTTGTTTAAGTGGATTAATTTTCCCAACACTTTTAAATTTAATTTAACATTCGAAGTAGATTGGATTATGAATAAGTAGTCCGTTAGTTAGTCAATTGGTTAGTTGAAGAGGTTGCTCGCACTCAGGCTTATTGACCCGTTGTGATGCCTATGCCGGTTCTTTAAAGAAGATTCCTCTCACCGTTCCAGTAGGTCAGACCGCTTGGTGTATTTTATGAGCTTCTCGCAGAATAATACTTCCTACAGGTGCAAGATCTGCTAGTCAATCGAGGAAGAAATTTCAGAGGAAACAATAACGGACCGCATTGAGAGCTAGAAAGGGCTGAATTAATATTACACCGATTTATCTTCACATATGTCCCTGCAGCTGCAGAAAAAGTTGTTTGAGAAGTAGCCTATCCTATTATCACAAGTCCACACAATACAGTGCTTAGATGGAGTAAAGTCTTAGTTCTTTTCCCTTCGATCAATTTCATCTGCTATTTGCCCTTCTGGTGAAGGCTAGTCTAAATAAATACTTCGCTTAGGAAAGATTTGTACCACCATTTTGTGAAGAGGTTACAGGTGGTATTATGTTATGTTATGTTATGTCTGTTCTCTATCGGGCCTTCTCAGCGGCTTCGCGATTTCTTAGACTAGGGTAGCCGTAAACGAATGATATCCTCCTCGTTATAGTCGCAAGCTATTTTCCTTGCGTGGTAAAAAACTGTTTAACATCAATAAGACCTCATATTTATACCAGTTATGATTTACTGAATACTTTAAAACCCTAATGAGTCTAATCACCCTCCTTAAATCTGCCCAAACGCACCCTCGTAGTATCCATAAAATGCAGCGATCCCAATCAAAAATGGTACAAAGCCTCACAGGTACACCGTGGTGTATGCGCAACGAAAATAGGCAAAGAGACTTCGAAATACCAATGAGAATCACTTAAGGGACAAATACTACCTGGCGAAAAAACGTTAAATTGAAAAAAAATTAACTAATTAGACACCACTCTCTTTATGGTAATATAATTCCTCTAGATTAATAATAAAGTAGCGTAAAACCCATTTTCACACTATTTCACGCTGTTAGCGCCTAATGAGCTGCCCTCTAACTCACCTTATCTGATAAGAGGCAAAAAGCCGGCAACACATATTTTTACAAAATGTTTATATATCATTTTTCTTAATCATACTTATAATACGTACATGTGAATATACATATATAGTACTATGAATATTCTTATCATTACAGTGCTTATATATACATTTGGATGTACATATTTTTTGTAGAAAAATAAAAATATGAAAAATAGTTGAAAGTTTCCGTATTTCGACTATTTTTGGTGGCAATATTTAATAATATACATATGTACGTGACCCCAACCAAATATCTGAAAACCCGGTTATATAGGTGCCATATGAAATAGTCCTCCGATTATGATGATTCTCTTTGACGTTGTTTAATTGTTACATTCAAATAATACCAAATTTCATACTCCTGGACACATTTTTGGTGGGATTTTGAAAAAAGTCTCTTAACTAAAAGTGTATGGAAGCTACGAGTATATGTTATAGTCGTCTGATTTCATTAATTTTCAACCGCATACAGAGGGGCATGATAAAATTAACTAAACTCATCTTCCTAAGCCGATCTTCATAAATTTTTACTAGTCTATATATTTTCATACTTTGGACAAAAGTTGGCAAATGTTCATGAGAGGTATATTAGTGGCTAAAGAAACAGGGATAAGAAGGGTATAAGCTATTGTCTCATTCTTCACCTTTCTCAGCATTTTTGCTGATAAGCAAGTTAACTGAATGTTTAGCCACGCGTCTCTTAGGTGCAAAAGAGGCATTATTTCGAGGCTACTAAAATTATATGTTTAGAATTTTTATCCTGTTCAGAGCGTTCGATCCTTAGGACTTCAAATAGCAACTTTTACAGTCATACAAGTTTCAGAACTGGTTGGTTTGCGAAGCAAAGAAATGGAAAGCTTTTCTGTTTTATTTTGTAAATACACTAACTGGTAAATACATATCAAACATATATACATCATTATCAAAAAATAAATAAAAATTAACAATTAATAAAGAGTAAACAGTAAACAAGCAAAGAATCAATTTTTTGGGTTTTTCTGGTACTAAATTGACAAACAAATACATATTCGAAAGTTATCATTAAAGATTTAGCAATTTCCAAGAATGTATGAGGAAATTATAAACGAAATGTAGACAGTGCTGAGGTCGAAAAAATTATTTTACTATGAGGATCGCAAGGAACAACTGTCTGTTCGGTGAACATCGAGAGAACTATCAGCTCAGAAAGCCTTTAGATGAAGATCGTGACGAAAGAAATCTTTTACAATGTGGATCGTATAGACTGTCAGCTCGGAAAGAAATCTTTTACGTCCAGGATCGCAATGAACAACTGTTAGCTCCTCAACAGAATGTAGTCGAACAAAAACCTTTCCGACGATTGGTACCTTAGTGTACTCTGTCCGGTTCAGAAGGCACAGTTTGCATCAATTATCGTGGTCTAAATCTCGTGAATATCGCATATGAGGTCATATCATGCATATTGTGTGAATAAAAGGGACTAATTAGTGTACCCACATCATTGACCAGTTATTCACCATAAGTCACATCGATACCGTGAGCAAAAGTTTTACATAAACAACACATTATCTTCGATTTCAAAGCTGCCTTGGGGAACACCCCCATTTTTTTATAGCTGAATTTGGTATCCCCACATCCTCAGCGAAGGCCTCACTTGTCTAAGTGTGGTGCGGATTACCAACTCAGCTTAGAAGCCCACTAAATCAGTCTAAGTGCTCGATATCATAGGAAAAGAGCTGCTTTGGACGAGTTCAGAAGAGAGGGAGACGGGGGTTAAAATATACATACCTGAGTTGAGCCAGTTTTACGCATGACTATTGAGGTAGCTCGAGCTCTTCGTCTGCAATAGGTGGCAATCATCGGCATATGAGATCAGGGAAACAACTTCCGATACAGGAGGGAGTTTATATTTCGAAAGTTAAACAACAGTAGAGATACGACACCCCCACCACTGGAACCCCTTGTTTAATTTTTTTTATTTTCAAGGTTTGGCCTTAAAATTCTACCGATGACCAACGACCATTCAGGCAGTCCATGATCTACCTCTTCAATCTTGGCGGTAATGAAGATTCATCAATATCAGATAGTAGCACTAACAAATTCAAAGCTATCAGAACAGTTCGTACACAGGGTCGGTATTGGTTGAGACCATTGATTACCTAAGTGTTTGTTATTGGATTGTTTGTCTCTTTGTTATTGCTTTAAAATTGTAATATAATTTTTTTGGTATTGTTTAAACCTTTCAGATGCTACAACCTTATAGTAGTATAGTATCAATACTTTATTTTTTTGAAAACAAAACTAACTGCGGTGCATTCCACGAACAGTTAGGGAATCAATCAAGTCTTAATATTTTTAAACTTGCCAGGCTGAAGTTGCACACGTGGTTGGAAACCCCCTATGTCCCGTGCGAATGTCACAGTCTTTCATAACTATCATCAAAAGTAACACCATTTCTCAACTTATTTAGAACAATTTCCAGGCGGAAACTTTCCTAACAAATTTCGGATGAAATAATAATTTCCTCGTTGATGCTAACAATTTTCTACATTCCATTAATAAAAAAAATACAATAATAATATTAAGTACAAAAGATGCTTATCAATGTATGAGCCCTTCCCCTTATACCCAAATCCTCACTCGGTACCACAACTGAAATCAAATTAAATTATTTGACCGCAAAACGATGATAACCCTGGTCTAGTCGAATCTACGCTTGCACGGAAAGAGGCTTATCTCAATTCCCAGTAAACTCATTTGATTTACACTAACAACAACAACCAAGCTTAAGAATAGCCGAAACAAAACGTAAACAAATAAATTGGAATATTTGAAAAATCTTTGGTATTTTGCAACATTAATTGCGCAAAACTAACAGTTTGATTTGAGAGCTCGTTGTGAGCACAGCTAAAATGTGGAGCAAAAACACTTTTGGTAATATAACTTGGCTCATACTAGTGATTCAGGTATGTGTGTACAAAAATTAAAAGAAAATTATCAAACTATGAAAATAAAATCTGAAAAAAAAAATTTTCCAGCTAGTAACTGCCGGCCCACAACGCAGAAGTGCAGAATATGAAGGAGCCCCAGATGATGATGGCTTTCAGACGTATACACGCCGCGGCGTCACTTTACGTCTCAAACCACGCAGTATGACCATACGTATTGGCGGTAAGAACGTAAGTCCCGACCAATTGTTGGAGCAAGCGAAGCTGGCAAAGCAATTGGAATTAGTCGCCGTGCGTCAACTACTAAGCACGCGTCATCCAGTTAAGCGCACGAGCTTCGAAAGTGGACACAAGCATACCAGCACATATACCTTAGAGCCGGATGGCAGCATTCTATATAAGCAAGTGGATGATATTGACAAGGAAGAATTGGACAGACGTTTTGAGGAGGTTTTCGAAAGAGAACGGCAGCGACAAGCAAACAAACATCCCGACAAGCTGGGCGATTGGGAGTGGGCCGAAAATGATAATAGTGAAAAACGTCCAAATGTATTTGAAGCGCCATTACAACCTTTTCCCGCACAAACACCTTACCGACCAATACCGCCGCAAATAGTGCCAAAGACGCCAAAAGATTCACCACCTGAAGATGGCGACGACCTATTCAATCCATCAAAGCCACCTAAAGACTTGCCGCCAACTTTCTACAAGCCAAACCAATATCAACCAGGTTCACGACCTGAAGATGGCGACGACCTAGTCAATCCATCAAAGCCACCTAAAGATTTGCCGCCAACTTTCTACAAGCCAAACCAATATCAACCACTATTACCACCTATAGATGATGACGACCTATTCAATCCATCAAAGCCACCCAAAGACTCGCCGCCAACTTTCTACAAGCCAAACCAATTTCAACCGGATTGGACGTCTGATGACTATGAAGATCCCTTTAATCCACCAGAATTACCGAATTTTAAATTGGATGATGGTGATTTAGACCCTTTCGATAAATCACAATCGATTCCTGTGACAAAAACAAATACAGTTGCGAACACTGAAATTGATAAGGATGGCAATACCGTGCATACTACCATAACGACCGGCCCAAATCAGTGGCGACGCAAAACAGTGAAAGTTTCAACAAACGTACAACCACAGTCTGCACCGGCGTCTACAACAACGGTAAAACCAGCAACAAATCCGAGCTTAGATGACTTTCTGAAATCGCAATACGAACCGAAACCATTGTCTGGCTCAACAAACCCACCAACTTCATCTACTACGCCAAAAACGATTCAGACCATCAACATCGATGACTTGCCACCTCTAGCCGTGTTTAATGTGAACAAGCCAGCTAACGAACAATTTCTGAAACCACTTGGACCGAATAGTGCCGATCAGAAGCCCATCAAAACTTTCAAGGTAGATAATATAGCACCCAGTTCCGAACTCAATCCCGAGCGTAGCACACAAACCCAAGTTCGTACATACCAATCAACTTATCGCGGTAATCAACCGCCAACTGCTGAAAATCTAAATCCCGACATGTTGGCAGTGCTGAAACGCGCTGGCATAAGACCTGAAGATATCAGCAATGGTCAGACTATTACGAAAACCCGTGTGGAGCCCGATGGACGCATAGTGAAGACTACATATCGTATAAAAACAAATTATGGTGCTGCTGAGCCACCTCGATACAATATACCCAATATTGGTAATGTGTACACTGACGATTCACTTAATTGGCCTGACCTTTACGATAGACCTTCCTGGTCGCTGCCACGCCAGCATCAGAGTGCCAGTCATTCTGGTGTCGATTTTAGTTCTTTTGGCGAAACGACATCTAGCACCACAACAACTACGATAAGACCCGCTATACGCGATCGAGAACCCTTAGGAGGAGATGAGGATGACGAAGGTGGCATTACATTGAATCCACTGCTGATACATCCTGTCCATGCCGTTGCTCCCAACAAGAATAGTAATTTACCAAATGTGGATACTGTCAAAAGTGCTATTGCTGAGTTCCTAGCTAAACTTGGCCTATCAAAGGCAGATCTGAGCGCGCAAAATGGTCAGTTTACAAAAACTATTGTTGATGATGATGGTTGTGTTTTAACGGCTAGATTTTTCCTAACGCCAGCAATTGCCATTAAACATAAAAAATAAATATCTGTATATTATTTTGACTTAGGATTATTTATACAAAATGAACGAATAAAATATATCGCATACATTTTTTTTTAAAAGAAATTTTATTTCCATTGTTTTCGTCTTTCAAGCTTTCAGACCACGGTAACCTTCCTCCATACATTTATTACTGTAAAAAGTCTAAAAGCTCGGATTATTTTTAGATTTTTTAAATGTTCATAGTTACAGATGGTTTGTCAGAATAAATCGTACCAAAAAATGTTGGCTCTGATTTGTGTTGGTCCTGAGACCAAGAAAACTCACAATGCATGTCAATCAGACTATCAAATAAATACGCAGTGAAAGAGATAGACTTTTTATGAAAAATCTTGTAATTGATTGTCCTCTAACACTTAGAAATACTCTAATGAGCATCACTGAAAACCAAAACAAACCAAAAAAAGTGTTGACCCAGAAAACACAACTCCCTCAAGACCACTGCTAACTCTCCTCGCAAAAAATACTGGAGAAATTCAATACCTTCAGACAACACAATTCGTAGTTTGGTGAAAAATTTCTTCGAGTATGGCACTGTAGCAACTCGCCAGCGTCCCAATTCGACCGCGTTCGAAACGCCCCGGTAAAGTTATGGGAGCGGTCAGAGACAGTGTTGTCGTTAACACAAATATGTTGTACCGCCGCAGATCTCAAGAGTTCAACGTGTGTGGTACGATTCTAAGGAGAATTATGAGGCAAGATCTTCAAAGTTTCCCATACAAAGTCCTATTTACTCAAAGATTGTTGCCAACAGACAAGTCGCCCCGTTTCCAATATGGGAATGCTTTCGCAAGAATGTTCGATGCTGAGCCTGATTTTTGGAATAAAATTTTCTCATTTCTCATTTCACTCTTTCCGGCGGAGTCAATAAACAAAACTGTCGAGTTTGGGAAACAGAGAACCCACATGTCATTCACGAAACACCACTGTACGATCAAAAAGTTACTGTTTGCAGGACCATTTTTGTTGATATGTGTCCGCAAATGCGTGAAAAAGGTCTGATGAACTTTTATTTCCAACAAGACGGCGGAACTTGCCACCACGCAGCCGCTATGATGTAGTTTTTGCAGCGCAGGTACCCGGGACACGTTGTGTCGGAAAATGATGATTTGGAGTGGCCGCCTCGTTCTCCAGATTTAACAGTACCTGACTTTTTTCTTTAGGGCCACAAGCCAAAGAGAATCGACGAACTATAAGATAACATACGAGTATAAATAGTTGCTAAATGCAGGCCAATGTTATGCAGAATGCACGCTGCTTTTTGTGTTTCTAATGATAGTGGTCATTTAATCGACGTTGTGTTCTAAAACTGATTCGAAATAAATGACAAAGTAATCCCAAATAAATCTTGTTCATTTGTCAAAATTGGCTAACAACCGGCAGAGTTATTCAGGGTTGAAATAAAAGTACCGAATGAGCTGAACTGCACCTGGACTTGGTATGTGATTCAAAAATCTCAAACAGAAATTAATGAGAAAATGCTAACACCCTCGATCATTGTGCTTGATGAAAAATTGGGCGGTAGAGTCAATTCTCCGGGCCGCTACTGCGTCTTCCAAGCATTACTGTTTGTAACAATCTGATTAAACTCTTTATTAAAGGCAACGCTGCTGGGACCTAGGTACCCAGGAATTGCGTAGCATACAAAATAAGAAGAGAAGGAATCCTTCTATTCAGAATAAAATACGTCCACGGCAAAACATATGCTTAAACAGGTCTTTGCCAAAGAAGCAAACTCTCGATGGCTAATTGAGATGCAAGTTGACCTGCCGCCTATAGGCGAAATTGTATGAGAAAAAAATTAAAACATCTTAATCTTCTAGACGTGTTATCTACTAACAAAATGAAGGACGTAATAACAGGACACTTTTATATGGGGCTTCATGCGAAAAGAATGGTCTAAATCTCTAATGAATTTTGCCGCAGTTATAGAGACGAGGAAGAGCTCTGCATAGCACAAGACCTTCGAGAAACACTTCTTTAAATGTCTCGCTAAGCCAACTTCAGTGAAAATTTATGATTTTATTACTTTGGGAAAGTGAACAAAGCAGCATCACAGTGGTATCACAATGGCCTTAGAGCGTTGGTGACTGACCAACAACCAGATCTACTCAACGTAACTCAAACCGAATGTACTCGAAATGGGTTTTATTTGTTTAATTTTTTATTAAAGTAGGCATTCGAAGTAGGATGATCACAGGGATTCAAGTAAGTGCAAAAAACGTCCAGTGTTCAAGGATAAGAAACTGGTTGCCGCAGCTCAGTTGACTGATTAATATTGAATTCTTCCTCATCTAGCTCTTTCCCTTCGCACAGAAATAAAGGAAAGTGACCTGTTTCAATAAGGCAGAGGCTCGGACTCCTTGCTCAGACCATTTATTAGAAACGAAAACTCGACATCTCCGTTCAAGAAAATAAAGTGATTTGAATATTTCTAACTCTGCTGTTATATAAACGACAAAGTGCTCGAGGAATAAAACAACATCATTTCCGCAGAAATCGATTGCATAATTCTGGTCTAAAACAGGGTAAATGAAAAAAAGTGCTAAAAGTGCTTTTCGACGACTTGACCACGTGAAAGCATTAACGCAGAGGGCGTATCAGAAAAAATCAAGGCCGCAATATATATATTATGGGAAATTTCATGTTGTACCAAAAATTTAAATCGATTCGGTTGAAAAGTTTGGAAATGTTATCGTTACAGCACCTGGCAAAATAAATTTTATTTCGTTATTAACCGAAAGGAAATGCTGTAGTTAATATTAAATCGTTGACAGATAATGGTAAACCGGTAATAGAGAATGTTAAATGGTTAACAGTTAATGTTAAATTGGAACAGAGAGTGTTAAATCGTCAACAGATATTATTAAACCGCTAACAGATAATGTTAAGAGTTACAGAGAATGTTAAATTGTTAACAGATAATATTAAATCTTTAACAGAGAATGTTAAGCAGGTTAAATCGTTTACAGTTAATGTTGAATCGGTAATAGAGTATGTTAAATCGTCAACAGAGAGTGTGAAATTTTTAACAGATAATATTAAATCGCTAATAGAGAATGTGCAGAATGATAAAACTCAAGTTCGATGTTAATATCATAGCTGTCAGCCATTTAAAAATGAACATTAATTCTGAGTTTGTGCAGTTTTAATGTTAATGATTTCATTTCGTTTCGATAACTTGGCCTCGGAACGAAAGAAAATCATTCCGCTAAGTTTATTTTTTATATTAACAGAACGAAATGGCATTGTTTCGTTAGTTTAGCATCTCTGAAAAAAATTGAAAATCTTAGAGAATATAATTCTATTTCAGAAGTGATGAGAAAATTTTTGGCAAATGTTTAGAATATATATAATATTATATTACATTTTTTTTAAATTTTTTTTTTTTGCATTGAATATTGGTTGGAGCAAATTTGTATATATTACGAGCTTTCGTGCATATCATATATGAGTGGAAATGCTTTGTACTTTCAAACGAATGCAAAATATTTTTATTTTTTTAATACACAAAAGAAAAATTAAGGCCACATTTGTTGTTCTATTTCAAGTGTGAAAAAAATGTGTTTCAATTGCTAATGAAGGGAGCAAGCTAAAGCAAAAAAATGTTATTAAAATATAATTTTTTCCTAACATCTTTCTTGTGTTTTTTGTTTGCGATTTTTCGGTCATCCCTAGTATTCCTAAAAAATGTACACATTTCTACGCAGTTATTGTATATTCACAAAAGTTATTAATTTAACCACCGTACAACAATAAAAATCAATCAATAAACCCTTAAACAATAAATTTTCTAGAAACATATTTCAATCAAAATTTTATATATAATTTCCGTTTCATGTCAATAAATTTTTTAGTGCCAAAAATGAAGTAAACATACATATAAATATTGTTGTTTAAATTTAAAATAGTACTTACCGTGCTTTATGTACATGTGCATACAGACATACAGACATATTTATAAAATTTTTTCTGCCATTTCTAAATTTTTTCGAAAATTTTTTCCATAATTTTATTTAACAAATATGTATATACATATGTATGTGTATACACAAAAACTGACGCAGTTGCATATATAGACATGCACAAATGTATATGTGTATGTATGTCGTATCACGCGCACACGTTGAAATAACGGGAATCAACGTGCAGCGTCGCTGTAGGCAAAATAATTGAAACACGCAGATACGCATTTGTCAGATACAGAAAAATTTTGCATAGAATTTTTTTGTTGCAATTTAATGATTTTTGTTTTTTTTTTCATTTATACATATATATAATATAATTTTTTTATGCAATTCTAGCGCGTATATAACTAATATTTTTGCATATATTAAAATTGCATTTTTGCCAAAACAAAATGCCTACATACATATGTACATACTATGTATACAAACAAACAAACAAATGCATATGAAAATAAATAAAGAAAAAATTAAATTTTTTGGGTGGAAAAATTGGCGCATATATTTTCAAGAGAAATAGCAAATACATATTTTTTTGTAATTTTAAATACTTTTTTTTATTATTAGATATTATTATTTTATAAACCAAGCTGCGATTTATTAAAATCAAGAGATATATAAATTCGAAAAAAAAGAAAGGAAAAAAATTTAGAAAAAATAATAGAAGAGAAAAACAGAGGGGGAAAAAATAAAAATAAATATATATGTAAATTAATAAGTAACGCAAAAATATGTTTTAAAAGCATACAACTAAATATAAAGCATACAAATATGTATATAAGAAGCACAAAATATGTATCTACATACAAACATATGCGTAAAAAATAGCTCACAAGCTTATATACATATAATAAATATATACATATATCTACATATATATGTATAAATATATGAATATGTATGTGCATGAGCATATACATATGTGTAATATGTAGAACTATAAAACAAATAAACGAGATCAATAAAGCAAGAAAAAATGTCCAACAAATCAAGCTTAAAAAAATTACAAAAAATTAAAATAAAATAAATAAAAAAAAATTTAAATAAAAATCTACATCTAAAAATTGCAAACAAAATTCTATATTAAGTACGCTGCTTATTTGTTGTTGCACGTAAATGTGTTGTTTTTGTTAATGTTAAATCTTTTATTTTATTTTATATTGTTTTTGTGCTCTCCTTTTTTTCTGTATACTCGTATGTATGTATGAATGTATTATAGAATTCATCAACTGATAGACTAACGGCATAAACAAGCGGTACTTTGGGTTTGGCGATTGATTGTCTATTATTGCTATTGTTTTTGTAATTTTTCTATTGCGTTTTGGTGTATATTTGATTCATTTGTTTCAATTTTTGTTGTTGTTTTTTTTTTTCAATTGCTCTCTCCTTTCCTCCTTTCAAACGCTACGCATACCGATTAGTAATAAATGATTGATAAGAAATCGTGCATATCTGTACGTATATATAATTTAAAGCAATTCAAACTACGCAAGCGAAGCGTTCAATTAGCACTCTTAGCGGTTGTAGTAGTAATAGAAGAGAAGCAGAAGCTGAAGCGGTAGCTGTTGCGGGTGCATTTGCGTAAGCCGTGCAATTGTTGTAGCGTTGAAAAATAAGCATCAGGAAATTTTCTTCTTGCTCTGCTTGTAATGCATATATTTATCCTCGTTAGTGTTGTTGTTGCATTTGTTTTATTTTTTTTTTTCAAGCCAAACATGACATAGAAAAGAAGAACTAGATTAGTTAAAAATTGCGTTAAAAAGCGTTAAAAGCAAACAAATATACATATATATATATATATATATATATATATATATTTCTAAGTATATGTATATGTGTATAGAGTTGAATATGAAAGCATTATTAAAATATATATGTTAATAAATTATTATATTAGTATGTAGTATGCAAGTGTGTATGTAAGTGTTTTAATAATATGTGAGAATTATTGAAATCGTTTAATAAGCACGCTTTTAGGCGTATATTTCATTTAAATTATTATAAATATTTTTAGATAAATATTTGGGCTAGTTAAAAAATATATTGCCTACATTTAAGCGTTCGTTGTATTAATATAGAAATGCTTTATCGAAATTTATCTTGTCCATGTGATAGGTAATTTAAACAAAATTCAACCACAATTATAATGTTTAAAAACAAGAAAATTATTTATAAGCAACTACCTTGATTGATTGAGACTATGACAACTGCGAGCTGTGGGACGAATTTTCAAACTCCCTACGTACAGCTGGAAGCGAAGCAGTTGGTTAAAGAAAAGGTCACAAAGACAGGTGGAACATTGGGGATTGCCGTGCCGCAGAGGAGAGAAAGTATTTACCTCGCATGTTGTGATCGACCACCACATCTCCGGATTAGGAGAGCTACCGAGAACTGAAGCGGTAAACAAGATGCATGTGCCAGACCAAAAAAAAAATTAAGAGAACGAGATACGTGAGTATGAAGAGCTTGAGAAGCTGGCCATCAAGGGTAATGCTCGAAAATTCTATGAAAAGATATGGCTACCTACCGGATAAGATTTCAATACTGGAGCAATCTCTTGATGGACGCAGTGAGGTGATCTAGCCACCCAGAGCATGCCTAGTGAATATTGAATTTATGGAGTGAAAACTTCTTCAGCCTATAGAATGGCAGTGAAAATCAAACACCCAGAGATGGTGAACCCGAAACCTCAAACGATGTTGATGAAAAAGACGATCCATTACCCGATTTCCCGCGTTCCACGTTGAGCCTGGGACCCGCCACGTAAACTCAAATCAGCTACAATGTGAGATAATGACAACTGTAATATACGTTCGTTTCATTGGAAAGGTATCGCTCCTTATGTAGGTCATGTCTTTGTCAGAATGAAGGCTGACCGCATCGCTTTTCAAAGAAAGATATGGCCAGAAAAAAATGAAAGAGTGAAGTTTTTTAAGATAGGAGATGGATGGATCACTCACTCTGGCAGATGAGTATGTAACCACAGAATGCATCAAATGATGAAGATTATCAACCTTCAAATCCAACGAAAACTCACTCTTGCCAGTCGGAGTTGGCAATTGAAACGTGATGTTCTCTCTCGACCAACAAATAGTAAGATCTACAAGTCGCTCGACAGAGCAGTATTTCTGTATGGTGGAGTTTCGGGAGAAAGATCTCGCGGAATATTTATGACACAGTAAAGGACCTTGAACTGCATAGGACATATGGCGACCCTTGGCATAGTACAGTTATTTAAGAAACAGCGGCTATGATTGCTGGTCATGCTCTTTGGTTGAACCAAAAGACATCAGCTATGAAAATATAGTACCCGCCAGTAAGGTGAAGAAGGACCTGCTGAATGACTGGTGTGCTATTGCTCCAGTGTAGAAAAAAATATAGTTTTTATCCCAGGTGAAACGAAGTTATTTTCAACAAATATTTAGTATAGAAATGCAGATCTTACTCTGCCAGTGCTCAAGCTCATGACTCATATCTCCACTCCTACCTTCTGGGCTACCGCGCTATGCTCAACAATTTCTGACAAAAATTTAAACAAGGGACGTCAGAACTACAACTTTAGCATGCCATCAGCTTTGTTGTAATGTCCATTTCAATAATTAAGCAGATTTAACGGATGCCAAGAAAACATACAATTCTTAGCAAAGACATGCACCTTTCCAAGCCAAGTTTGGTACCGCCGATCTTGCTATGAAAAGGCATAAGTTGCTTGATAGTCGTAGGAGTTTGCCCCCATCGCGAAGGTGAAATAAGAATACTAATTAACTAAGGTTTCATTATTCCCAATTACTCAATGCTTTTCACGTAACATGATTTAGTTCAATAGGAATAATAACAAAATTTATCAAATAAAAATATGACCAGCCACTTTGGGTAAAATATAACATATCAACTTAATATTCATTAAAAAAAACTTAACCATTTATGAATAAAGAAGAGTAACAAAAAAAGAATAAATAAAAACCGTAACTTCTTCAGTATAATTTCCGCTTATAGTGTATAATTGAAGTCGTTACTCACCAGATTGTCAAAACGCAAGGCATCCTCATCGCTCAAACCCATGCTGCGGGTCAATTGCAAATATGTCGAAGTGATGGGTTTCAGACGTTCCAAGTCTAAAGGTGGCAAGCGTGACGAAAATCGGGTTGACGGTGAACTAATAGTTGGACGTTCACGGTCAGCGCCACCTGATGCTGCGAACCTGGACGAAGAAGCCTTCATTTCAGTTGATGCAGACTTAAATGAAAGTTCCGACGACAAACTGCCTTTGCTGAGCGGCGCTTTTGAACACTGAGCAGTGGGTGTGGATGTGAGCAGTTGTGAAAGCGTTGACGATGATAATGGTGTTAGTGGTGTTAGTAGCTTTGGTATGATAATGGATGGTAAAGACGTTGGAGGTTTGGTATGAGACGTAGATGTGCCATTGGAGCGTGTAGATCTGCAAGTAGAAGAAGTAGAAAGATTAATTGCACTGAGTTGTGTTGGTGGTGGAGACAGCGACGGCAGCGGAGCAGCTTCGGTAATCGTTTCCAACTCAGCAGTAGATACAGACGCAGCGACAGCAGTATCGGAGGATGCATGGCTAGTTTTCGGAAAATCTTTATGAGTCTGTGTATCGATTTTGGAGCAGCGAGGTCTGTAACTTTTCTCACTTTCAGGTGAGCTTTTGAACTTTTTCATGAGCGGCTCCTCTGTGGGGTGCAATGATGATTTATTTTGGTAAACGGACGGACTTTCAGATGTTACAAGTTCTTTCGTTACAGTGGACTGTTTTCCATACGAAGTGGTTGGCATTGTACCCACTTCCGCTGAGCTGGAACTACGTTGAGCTGTAAGCATTTCAGCAAAACCAGCAAATTCAGCGAACTCAGCGGAGAGTGGCGGTGTGGCTAGTGGAAAACTGCCAGCATAGAAACGACGCATCATTTCATAGTAACGAAAGAAGCTTTCATGTGTCTTTAAGAAATTCATATCGAAACAAAGGGGATGATAGCCGAGGTAAGGAGGCGGCGCATGCGTAACCGGTTCGCGCACCACCAATGGTGCCGCTGATGCCGTTGTTGTAGTTGCAGCACGCGACACTGAAGTGGAAAGAGAAACCGAAACAGGCAACGGCAACGGCAAAGACACCGATACCGACACCGGAGGCGGAGTCAATGGACGCTGCAACTGCGGATTGATGCGTATTTTCGGTTGTGCGACTACTGGTGATGGCGTTGGTTTGACAATAGAAGCTACCGATTCGGATACCAAATCTATTGTTATTGTTGGCATAACTGCCGCTTCATGTGTGGCTACGGCAGCGGCAGTATCTGTTGAGCTAGATCTTGGTAACGAAGCTGGCGCTGCGGGACGCTGTCTTAATGGCGCTGTTAGCAAAGCGCGCGCTATCGACTGCGAAGCTGGCGCAAATTTTGTGCTGTCAACAGCTTCTTCAAGCTGTGAATAGCGGCGTTTTAATGGCACCACCGTTGAGCATGTTGTTGGCGCTTTTATTGCTTTGGTGCTGGTGGTGGTTGCAGTGGCTTTTTTTAGACCAGATGTGCTGCTTAGTCGAGCCGGTGCAGCTTCCACTGAACTTTCAGTATGGGAAGAATAGTTGAGAACTTCAATTTCAGATGAGCTGTCATTGCCACATTCATCCGGTGGATTGTGGGCGGTGGCCGGTGAAGTGGCGCGTAAATTCTTCTTACACTCCGGACAAATGGATAGGAAGCGTGTGACAGCTTCGCGCGGCAAAAAAGCATAGGTTTCGGTAATCTGGAAAGAAAATGAAATTTAGTTGGGAAATATGTTTACTTAAATTTCTCAGAGTTAAAAAAAATGTGTTGATTTTACACTCACTATGCGGTATGTGCGCTTTTGTCCTGCATGCATGCCACTGCGTCCACCCAATTCCATGTGCACATTGTAGATAATATCGAAGAACTCCTCCACCACGGCTACCTTGCGATAGGTGCGCTTGCCAAAGTCCTGAAAACCGAGCATTATAATGCAGATCTCAGAAATTTTATTTTATAAGCTTTACCTTAGTCGTTGAGCCTACAAACAGATCAACTTGACTCGCGTTATCTGAGAGTACAGCATTTGGGGGCAGTGGTTCGAGTTGTCGATGGCCACCGGCTGCTTCTGCAAATCCAGCTGGACGTTTGGTAGTGAAAGCTGCAAGAAATAGGGACAATATTAAAATCAATGCTATTACTAAGCTTTCAGTTTAAAAATTTATAGCTAAATTTCCGAAAGTTAAATTTTCCTTGAAAGCTTTATACAGCAAAGTCGTTATACGAGTACTCTAACCTTTCGTTTTCACCCAAAATCGAAATTTCGAACTGTCCGGCCGACTATGCTCCTTGCCCTCCAATGCTTTCAAGATGCGCGTCTTTTTACGCAACGTAATGGTTTTTGTCTTCGCTTGATCGCCATAATTCTTCAATGCCCAAGGTTGAAAAAGCTGCAGGGAAAATAAATAATCACATTTGTTACACTAAACACTCTTTGTTAACACCTCTTCGTTAGCCGCGTTATACCTCATAAATATGTTCACGCTCCGCTTGACGTCGCGGTTGCGTACTCAACGGCGGCAAGCTGATGACTTCAGTCACCACCTGATCCGGCTTATTTTTATCAATAGCAACAGCAGTTGGCAACATATCAACATCGTCAACATCTGCTTCATAAGCAGCATCTGAAACAGAAGCAGAGGCAGATGCAGATATTGAGGTAACTCCTAAAGTCTCCTCCTCATGCACAAAATGTGGGATTATAGTTTCTTTAGGAGGACGTTGTTCCTGCAACTGCTGCTGCTTCTCATGCTGGATTTCAAGCAAATGTTGTTCTTGTTGTTTTCGCGTGCTCAATTGCTGTTGCTCATCGAGTGACGTTTCCTCAGGCCTCTCATATGTATGAACTTTTTCTTCCCGGTCATCGACTGGCGATTGCTCACGCGACGATTCCATTTTATTCATGCAGTGTTATTCTTTTGATGATTGCGCGAAACTTTCCGATTTAAGAAATTATTTTTGATAACCCTTTAGATTCGTTTTCTGTACTTCTATTTTTTTAAATTTTTGCTTTAAGTTCATAAATAAATTATTTTGTCATTATCAAAGATTTCATGGTTAATATTTGTTACAACGCATTTGTTGTTTTTCTTTTCGTTTTCAAGCCTTAAGGTCCTGTAAATAGAACAGAAATTCCCATACATACAGAAGATTTAAAAAGGTAAATAAAATCAGAAAATTATTTTAAAATAATTTTACATAAAATTGAACTGAACTTGAAAAAACTAAATTAAATTAAATAAACCAAAATGAAGTATAAGCAAAGTACAATAAAATTACATTAAATTTTATTATCTAAATAAAGTAAAATAAAATGAAATAAAATAAACTAGAATTAAGTAAATAACATAAAATAAACCAACATAACATAAAATAAAATAAAGCTAAAATAAAACAAAGTGTAATAATATAAATTGAACTAAAGTCAATTTAAATTGAATTGATTAATGGAATATAGTAAATTTAAATTAAATAAAATTGAATTAAATAATATAAAATAAAGTAAAATAAAACTAATTAAGTAAAATAAAGTAAAAAAAACTAAATAAAGAAAAATTAAATGAAAGAAATAAATTATATAAATTAACAAACTAATATAAGCCAAGATGAAATAAAAGAATTATATTAAATTATGGTTAAACGAATTTAAATAACACTCAATTAAAATAAATATAAAAAAAATTAAAAACATTAAATAAAATGTAATAAGGATAAATAAATTAAATAGAGTAAATCAAAATAAATTAAATTAAATTAAATAATTTAAAAGCGAATAAATCAATATAAAATTATTCTACATTAAATTACTTATGTTAAATTGAGTAAAATTAAGTAATTTAAAATAAAATAAATCAAGTTAAAATAAAACGAAAAAACATAAAATAATATAAAATAAAATAATAAAAAAATCAAAATGAAAAAATGTATAAAATATACTAAAATAAAATAAAACTTTTGTAAATTAAGGAAAATAAATTAAAAAAATAAAAAAAAATAAAAAAAGAAAAAATAAAGTAATGAAATCAACAAAATAATACAAGCCGAGATGAAGAAAAAATTAAATTAAAGTAAATCGAAATGAAATAAATCTAAATTAAAATAAATATAAACTAAAATTAAAAATTAAAAATACAATTCAAAAAATAAAAAGTGAATTAAAACAAATTAAACTAACTAATTTGAAAGCAAATAAAATAAAACATAAGAAAATAAACTAATTGAAAAAAATAAATTAAATTTAAATTTTAAATATATTTGAAAATAAAATTACTGTAAAAGAAAATAAAGCAAAAAAATTAAATAAAAATTAATAATAAAATAAAACAAATAAAATAAAAAGAATTTAATTAAAAAATTAAACAAAATAAGAAAATAAAGAATAAATTTATTGAAAAAAATTTGAATATTCAATAAATGAGAAAATAAAAAAGGAGAATATAATACGATAACAGACGAAAAAAAACCTAAATAGATTTAATTAAACTAAAATATAGTAAATAAAATAAAACAAAAAAAATAAATAGAGACACAATAAAAAAATAAAATAAAAAGTAATTCAATGTAAAAAATAAAGAAATAAAGAAGAGCAAGGCAGAAAATAGTTCAGTGGTCTCAAGCCGCCGTTATGCATATTGTATATATGCGAGGTGTAATGAGACTGTTTATATTATGTCACCCTGTGACTTTTTTGTTCCCTAGAAAAGAATCGACGGTCAAAGAAACCCATTTTGAGTCGATTAAGGATATTCAGGCGGCGGTGATGAGGGTACTCGCAGACATCCCAGTTGAAGTGGTGCAGAAATCTTACAAAGCAGGAAAAACGCGCTGCCCAAGAGGACTACTTTGAAAGGGATGGTAGAATTGTAGAGAAATTTTTAAAAATACGGTTTTTATTTAATCAGTCTCATTGCCACACCTTGCAATACAGAGAATACCAAATAAAAAGTAAATAAAATAAGATAGATTTAAATAAAACAAATTATAGTAAAAAAAATTAAATAAAACTTAAAAACAAAAAAAAAAATTGCTTCATGAAGCTGTTCAGGCAATATCTTTTATTTTTTTGGGATAGCGAGGAAATTACAACAATAGTTTGGGCAGTATATAGCTTATAGCTTATTTTGAAGGTTCTTTTTCTGTTGGAATATTTAATTTTAATACATTGAACTGGCCCATATATTTTTTGGGGAAGTAGAATTTATAGAGTTGCCTTCGAATAAATGTTAATAAAGTATCCATTGATGCCTAATATCTCGGGATGATCTAGATATCAAACTAGAGCCGAAATATTGCAGAAAGATCAAGGAACGTTTAAAAGGCAGCCATTACCAAGAGATTGGGATTAACATCGAATATTGTCCACTGAATATATTTATATAGCGGTAAATAGACACATCCTATTCACTGGCATCACTGCATGGCCGGCACTGGAAAAGGTTTATTTCAGCTGCAGGCTAGAGGAGATCCAGCGGTCCTAACCCTACCACCAAGTCCCTCGAGAGCCCTGGTAGTTCTTTTAATTTCCTCAATCTGGATGTTTACGGCAAGTTTTAAGCGAGTTGCAATGCAATGAGATTGAAGACAACTCAAACTTAGAGAAATCGCTGCACAAGATACGCCCAATTTTCGAAAGAATTGGACTACAGCAAACCTAATTTCTAATACCACAAGTATCTCCGAGATTGGGAACACAGACGTCTTGGGCCAGAAAGCCATAGTCAACTTTATAGAAAGGCTTTACATTTGATGACGGCTTAACAATGCTCCCTATTAATGTGAAGATAAGATTACCGAACCATGGCAATGTCCTTCGAGAAAAACTCTTTGCAATGCTGGAAGCCTCTCACAAGTTAAACAATTTTGTTATATTCAGACAGCCATGGTGTCTTTAGATCATTTCACTGAACAGATGCTTGAATAAATATAGCACTGGAGTAACCTGGCCGATGATCTACATGATCATATTATAATCAACCATAATCATAGCTCTGTCTGACTTATTATATGCTAATGATTATTGTGCTGTTGTAAAGTCAAAGAAGAGAGAGAGCCTGCTGTGCATTACCTCTGTCACTGGAACTTGGCACTTTTGCGGCTGCCTTGATAATAAAGCCAGCAATCTCTTATTCATTATAAAACTCATAAATGGTTTGAGAAGTTGATAGGAACCTGACAGTGGTATCACATTGGATTATGGACCCAGGTGCGTTGGACGCCAACCTACGGTGCGGCTGTAGCTTAACTCAACTCAGATCAACGAATTATTATTGCAGCACATTAAAGTGTATTTTGTCTACACGATCAATGCACTTCTTGATGCACACTTACTTGTCATAATAATCCATACATATTTCAATATTTCGTCATAAACAGAACATTTGCAGTTTTTCACAACACGACATAATTAAGTTCAATTAAAAAGTTAATCGCAGATGACGTTTCAAAATTGATTGCATTTAATTCTTTACACAATTAAAAAAAAATAAATCCATATAAATGAGCAATTGAAACATAAAAATCGTTGATCAACAAAACAAAAACTTTTAAGTTAATATACAACAATAACACGTATCCGAAATATTTATAACAAAAAAACGAAAACTTAATGAAAACGAGATAACAACGCGAGCGAGCGCGAACGCTTTAAAAGATCAACAAAGACTGATCTGACAAATGTAAGTTTTTCAAAGAAAATCATCCTGTTGTCAAAGACCGGACCAAAGAAGCTGAGCCTTCGGTTGAACTGGACAATGTATTGCAAAGAAGGTGGTAGTAGACTGTAGACTATCCAGAGAACAGGGTGAAGTGAGATATATGTATGTATGTACATGCAAGTATATAAAGAAGCCAAGATGATACTAAGAAACAGGTTTTAAGGAAAGGAAGATGCAACAACCGCAAGGAAGCAGTGAAAATCCTTAAGAAATTTATTTAAGGGGTTAGAACAACGCTGTGTGAGTGTAGAGGAAGTACATATGTATGTATGTAAAGAAAGAAATTAGAAAAAATTAACATTCAACCTAAAAAATGAGCTATTTGGCCAGTGGGTTGGTGGACTTTGGTTGGTGGCAAATGCGGGATGATAGCGTCGTTTAAAGTGAATTTTTTTTGTAAAATTAAAAATCTTTATTTATTTTTCTACATCGATTTCGTCGCCTTCAAAATAGTCCCTTGCTGATGCTATGAACTTATGCCACTGCTTATTCCAATTATCGAAATATGTCAAATAGACACACTCTGCTATGGCCTTCAGAGAGCGCGCCAATTCACGTTTAATCTCCTCAATCGCCTCAAACCGGTGTCCTCGAAGTGATCTCTTGGGTTTTTGGAAGAGCCAGAAGTCACATGGTGCTAAGTCCAGCGAATACGGGGGTTGGGTAACGATATTCGTGGAAATTTTAGCGAAATGGTCACGAAGAATGTGTGCTGTGTGCATTATCGTGATGCAAACACCACGAAGGCACTTTTAGTCGCTTAGTAAAGACAAGCGTAACTAAAATACCAAGGATGACATTGACATGAAATTTGGCGTACATATCAATAACAGTACTGCCAACATTGAAAAAAATGAATTAACCAGAAATATTAAACGCGCAAAGCTCAAAATAAAAATTCACCTCCCTTTTTGCTCACAGTATGTAATTGGCCGCTGATGGTTTTTTATGAGAAGATTTATTTCATGTTAGAAATACACTCGGAAGAGTTGAGAGAAAATTGAGCTTAATTCTTTATTTAAATTAATTTTCTATAACTTGGATGTTAGTACGACACTAGGGTTTGAAACCGAGCCTTTCGAATGTCAGTAACTACCAGTGCTAACCACTCGGCTACCGCAGCCGAAGCTCCTAGAAAAATTAAGACATTCTCTTACATAAAAAATACATATTAACTCCCATGCAAAATAAATGAAATAAAATCAAAGCAGAAAAGGTGTCTTACATACA